TCCCCCCCCCCCCCCCCCCCCCCCACACACACACACACACACAGACACACACTCTCACACACAGACACACACACACTCTCACAGACACACACACACTCTCACACACACCACTCTTTTGTTTCAAGTCGACCCATCCACATGCTTCTTTTTGATGGTTGCATGTGTGTGCGTCCTTCTCGGTTCGGATGTTTTGTCGTCTCTCTTCTTGTCTCTGTGTTTCAGATGGGTCGGGGTATGATTCTCCAGAGCCGTTTCTGACCGACGGTGTCCCAGGGTCCAGGGCAGGGTGCGTGGCCCTGATAGCAGCTCTGGCCTCACCGTTCCTGGAGCTCCTCCTCGGACTGTGACCCTTCTCTTGTCTCTTCCTGGAGCTCCACGTTCCAGGACGACAGGCTGGGCTGGCTGTCCCTCTAAACTCACCACCCCTCAGGGAAGCCCTCTTTTCTGCCCCCTTTTTCTTCCCACCTCCATCTCAGTCTGACCACCAACCACCCCTACTCCTCTGCCAGCTCCTTTGTTGGCCCAGCCTCAGACACCCTTCCAAGGCATGGCAGCGAGCACTGGAGGATTTGAGGCCATCTGAGAAGACGCCCTGAATTCTTGGTTGAGCGTCACCTCAGCTGAAAACATGTCAGCGCTCATATCAGGGGTTTTTTGTTTGACTACTGACTCTTGACCACTGATGGGGTAGATATGGCCATGGCTGTGATTAAACTTGTCGTCCCAGTTCAGGTCCTGTCATCCAGTCACGATGGGATGCATTAAGCGATAGGCCTGAATGCACAAAAATTGGATTTTGCTCACATTGCTCCCTTTAAAACCAAGAATTGGAAGTAGCCGTGCACTATAACTGTAATTCTGCACAACGCAGACACTTTCCAAATGCACCAAGAATAAAAGCAAATGTACTGAGATGAAAAAAGAAGGAACAAAACATTAAGACCACACATTTAAATAAAACCAAAATGGGAAATGTAGAAAGTCCCCATGGGTACAAATAAAACGTGACACCTTAAGAAATTCATTCTTAGTTTAGTAAACTGAACAGAAAGATTTGCAAAAAGGACTTTGTGTTTATACGCAGCAGGTGTTGTGCTTCGTGTTCCGTGTGGGCCGGCAGACGGACTGAGACACAACACGGCACCGACACGTTACAGACCGTCTGCAAACATACACCAGGCTGTACGTGTAGATACTGAGGCTCTTCCTGACACTCATCCATTTTATTTCTACCATAAATTTATCTCAATATTTGGCTTGATTGACAATAGTTTTCCACAACTTTTGGTTGTTTTCAAATACTTTTTCTCTTTTGTTCTATAACAATTCATTCATTCATTCATTTATCCATCCATTCATTCATCCATCCATTCATTAAGTCATTCATCCATC